TTACTGATTGAATACAACACCAGACAACAGTTTACTGATTGAATACAACACCAGACAACAGTTTACTGATTGAATACAACACCAGACAACAGATTACAGATTGAATACAACACCAGACAACAGATTACAGATTGAATACAACACCAGACAACAGATTACTGATTGAATACAACACCAGACAACAGTTTACTGATTGAATACAACACCAGACAACAGTTTACTGATTGAATACAACACCAGACAACAGTTTACTGATTGAATACAACACCAGACAACAGATTACAGATTGAATACAACAGCAGATAGATTACAGATTGAATACAACACCATACAACAGTTTACTGATTGAATACAACACCAGACAACAGTTTACAGATTGAATACAACACCAGACAACAGCTTACTGATTGAATACAACACCAGACAACAGATTACAGATTGAATACAACAGCAGATAGATTACAGATTGAATACAACACCAGACAACAGTTTACTGATTGAATACAACACCAGACAACAGTTTACTGATTGAATACAACACCAGACAACAGATTACAGATTGAATACAACACCATACAACAGTTTACTGATTGAATACAACACCATACAACAGTTTACTGATTGAATACAACACCAGACAACAGTTTACTGATTGAATACACCACCAGACAACAGATTACAGATTGAATACAACACCATACAACAGTTTACTGATTGAATACAACACCAGACAACAGTTTACTGATTGAATACAACACCAGACAACAGTTTACTGATTGAATACAACACCAGACAACAGTTTACAGATTGAATACAACACCAGACAACAGCTTACTGATTGAATACAACACCAGACAACAGATTACTGATTGAATACAACACCAGACAACAGATTACTGATTGAATACAACACCAGACAACAGATTACTGATTGAATACAACAGCAGATAGATTACAGATTGAATACAACACCAGACAACAGTTTACTGATTGAATACACCACCAGACAACAGATTACAGATTGAATACAACACCAGACAACAGTTTACTGATTGAATACAACACCAGACAACAGATTACAGATTGAATACAACAGCAGATAGATTACAGATTGAATACAACACCAGACAACAGTTTACTGATTGAATACACCACCAGACAACAGATTACAGATTGAATACAACACCAGACAACAGTTTACTGATTGAATACAACACCAGACAACAGATTACAGATTGAATACAACACCAGACAACAGTTTACAGATTGAATACAACAGCAGACAACAGATTACAGATTGAATACAACACCAGACAACAGATTACAGATTGAATACAACTCCAGACAATAGATTACAGATTGAATACAACAGCAGATAGATTACAGATTGAATACAACTCCAGACAACAGATTACAGATTGAATACAACACCAGACAACAGTTTACTGATTGAATACAACACCAGACAATAGATTACAGATTGAATACAACAGCAGATAGATTACAGATTGAATACAACACCAGACAACAGATTACAGATTGAATACAACACCAGACAACAGATTACAGATTGAATACAACACCAGACAACAGATTACAGATTGAATACAACACCAGACAACAGATTAGAGATTGAATACAACACCATTCAACAGATTACTGATTGAATACAACAATGACCAAAATGAAGATGCTTAATCCATTAAGGACAAGTAACTCTAATTAGGACCTCGCAAAACCTTAACGATAGAAAGTACAGAGTAGCAGCGGGGCAGTCCAGACATATCAATGTTGACAAGCCGTACCACAGCAGACTCTCAACCTCTACCACATGCAGAGGCGTAGCGACCCCTCCCGGGGACAAACTTTCGATTTGCGCCCCCCTCGAACTTTTCATTTGCACCCCCCCCCCCCTCAAACTTTCGATTTGCACCCCCCCTTCGAACTTTTCATTTGCACCCCCCCCTCAAACTTTCAATTTGGCGCCCCCCTAAGGTCGGCGCCCGGTTACATATGTCCCCCCGCCCCCCCCCCCCCTCGCTACGCCTCTGACCACATGCACCATTTGACATTTGGTATTAGAAATCAAAATCATTTTAAAACATTATTAAATTGGAAAATGTGATCAAAGGATTTGAACGTTATAAATTAGATTTTAAACACGATAATCTTACATTTGTATTGCTTTTTTGATACATTTCAATATGAATTTGTAATAGTTAATTTTAATACACAAGGTAAAAAAATTTCAACATTATATATTAGAAAAAAAAAGAAAGAAAGAAAAATTAATATACACAATATCAACATTGATTCTAGGTTGAACTAAATCTAAAATCTCTAAGGTAAAAACCATTTGAAAATCTTCTCTGTCAGATTTTATTCTGAAAATATTAATAAACACACAAAACACAAAAGAGCTTTATCAAGGTCATGGCGACCCTGGGGTGGGGATGGGGGGGGGGAGCTCGGATTAAAACGAAACAGCGTCCAAGAATATGTGTTTGATTATTGAAACATTAAAGTATTAAGAGTTCTTAAAATGTCTTAACTAACAAAAAAAAAAGATTTTGTTTGTAGAGCGTGCAGAAATTCATTGATAATAAAACTTCACACCTTCCCCACCTCACACCACACCACCTCAGCCTACATCATACCACACTACCTCACCCCACCCCACAACACCCCACAACACGCTACCCTCAACACCCCCACAACACCCCACCCACAACACCCCACAACACCCCCAATACCCCACCCACAACACCCCACAACACCCCCAATACCCCACCCACAGCACCCCACCCCACAACACCCCACCTCACCTCGCCCCGCCTCACCCCACCCCACAACGCCCCACAACACGCCACCATCAACACCCCACCAACAACTCCCCCACAACACCCCTTCGCACCCTTATGTTTTAATGAAAGTTATTATTTCAACACAAGAGCAGCTTAAAATGTTTTGGATGGATTTAGAGGCGATTATAACCTGAAGTTGCTTTTATCCATTGGATTAGTTTAGTTGTATTTTAACTGAAATGGGAAGCTAGCGATTGTGTTGAGGTGGTTAGAGATTGAGTTGAGATGGTGTAGGGATTGAGGTGGTGTAGGGATTGAGGTGGTGTAGGGATTGAGGTGGGGTAGGGATTAAGATGGAGTAGGGATAGAAATAGTGTAACGATGGAGATGGTATTGCGATTGAGTCGAGATAGTGTAGCGATTGAGTTGAGATGATGTAGTGATTTCGATTGTATAGGGATTTTGATTGTGTAGGAATAGAGATGATCTAAAGCCTTGTGATGGTGTAGGGATTGAGGTGGTGTAGGGATTGAGTTGAGATGTGAATACGAAAAAGTCGAGTGTATTTTAATTTGACTGATGGTCTAAGACAAACAAGCGAGGGTGGGTTCGACCTTGTGTTTTCACCACAACAAAAACTAAAACAGACGCAACAGATGTTTTTCATCGATAGGCCCTAATGAATCGACCCGAGATAGGATTTGAATATAAAAACAATACGAGGTTATTTTTAGACTAATGCGAGGCTTGTTCTGTTAGGAACTTTCAAATGTTAACGAAACAATAAACGTGAAACTGGAAAATTAATGTAGACTATATTAACCTCAATGAGGAAGATTAATGTAGACTAATATAAACTTTAATTAGGAAGATTGATGTAGACTAATATAAACTTTAATTAGGAAGATTGATATAGACTAATATAAACTCCAATTAGGAAGATTGATGTAGACTAATATAAACTTCAGTTAGGAAGATTGATGTAGACTAATATAAACTTCAATTAGGAAGATTAATGTAGACTAATATAAACTTCTATTAGGAAGATTGGTTGGACTAATATACACTACAAGGAGAAAGATTGGTATTAGACTATAGACTTACACAAAATTCGAAGAGGGGATTTTGTGGGTTGTAGAAAAACCTACAAAAAGATTGTGTGGACCTACACACAATTTATAATGGGGGATTAGAAATAGAAATAACGAGTAGAAGGGTAGGAGAGGGTGAAAGTAGGAGTGGTAGTACGGAGGTTGAGGAGAGAGGAGAGAGAATGTGATGTACGCAGTGTGAGAGAGGTGTTGAGGAGAGAGTAGAGAGTAGGGAGAATGTGATGTACTCACTGTGAGAGAGGTGTTCAGGAGAGAGTAGAGAGTAGAGAGAATGTGTACTCACTGTGAGAGAGGTGTTCAGAAGAGAGTAGAGAGTAGAGAGAATGTGTACTCACTGTGAGAGAGGTGTTCAGGAGAGAGTAGAGAGTAGAGAGAATGTGTACTCACTGTGAGAGAGGTGTTCAGGAGAGAGTAGAGAGTAGAGAGAATGTGTACTCACTGTGAGAGAGGTGTTCAGAAGAGAGTAGAGAGTAGAGAGAGAGAGAGTGATGTACTCACTGTGAGAGAGGTGTTGAGGAGAGAGGAGAGAGTAGAGAGAGAGAGAGTGATGTACTCACTGTGAGAGGTGTTGAGGAGAGAGGAGAGTGTAGAGAGAGAGAGAGTGGTGTACTCACTGTGAGAGAGGTGTTGAGGAGAGAGGAGAGAGTAGAGAGAGAGAGAGTGATGTACTCACTGTGAGAGAGGTGTTGAGGAGAGAGGAGAGAGTAGAGAGAGAGAGAGTGATGTACTCACTGTGAGAGGTGTTGAGGAGAGAGGAGAGTGTAGAGAGAGAGAGAGTGGTGTACTCACTGTGAGAGAGGTGTTGAGGAGAGAGGAGAGTGTAGAGAGAGAGAGAGTGATGTACTCACTGTGAGAGAGGTGTTGAGGAGAGAGGAGAGAGTAGAGAGAGAGAGAGTGATGTACTCACTGTGAGAGAGGTGTTGAGGAGAGAGGAGAGTGTAGAGAGAGAGAGAGTGATGTACTCACTGTGAGAGAGGTGTTGAGGAGAGAGGAGAGAGTAGAGAGAGAGAGAGTGATGTACTCACTGTGAGAGAGGTGTTGAGGAGAGAGGAGAGTGTAGAGAGAGAGAGAGTGATGTACTCACTGTGAGAGAGACGCTGTTCTTCTCGCTCCGTGACCCAATGCTCGTGAGCACCATGTTTGTCACTTGACTTTAATCCACGATAATCCACGATAATCCAAAATTGGGACGACACTTTAAAATAATCCAAGGTGACGTCAGAATAAACACTTTAAATTATCAACGACAATGTTGAACGGACATCTGAATGTACAACTGAAAGGTTCACTCTAATCTTGCAAGTAAATTACTGTCAGCTACTGTGTTAATATGACACAATAATCCCTACTGACACTTTCTTGCAAGGTATATTAATATACAGATAGTTTGTCATGCAAATAGATGACAGACAGTTCTGTCATAGACAGCTGACCAGACTGTCTCACATAGACAGACAATGCCGCTCACGGATTCTGTTGATGTCGTGTGCTGGCCAAGGTTTTCTGCCGCGGTCTCTTACAATCAAACTGTTGACTTAAGATTTCTTGCAGTTTCCCGTCCTAGTTTTTTGAAGCTGGTAACGGTGAGTCAAATAAAAAAATTAAAAATAATTTTTTTTATTTGAATGGGTTTTTAAATGCTCAGTTGTTTATTTAACATGCTCAGTTGTTTATTTAAAATTAACAGTTGTTTATTTATGTAAAACGATTTTTTAACTTAACGACTGTTGGACAATAAATAATGTCTCTTTTGTATAGCCCCCCCCCCCATCCATTAGCATCCATGCACATTGTCACATGTAAACCTTATTCCCCCCCCCCCCCCCACCCATACCTTTGTAACGGTTGTTTAATTATTTGAACACACATTTATTTCGAGTGCTTTAAGCTGGAACAAAATGTGGTTAATTTATTCTTTTTTAACACCATTTGCTAAACAAAAATTTAATTCGAAATTAAATTACTGCTAAAATTAGGTTTTAAAAATTGATTATTGAAATGCAGAATTGAGACGTCACTCATTATGAAGTCGTCCGTCCCCCCCCCCCCCCCACACACACACACACCGCCGTCACCAAAGTTTTCGACCACAGGCATTTGTTGGAGGGCATTTTTTGTCATTTATGTCGCAGGTTGTTTGATAAAATCATTACTTTTTGGGGTTAACCTATTTATTGTTGGGGGTTAACCTATTTATTGAAGTTAACCTATTTATTGTTGGGGGTTAACCTATTTATTGAAGTTAACCTATTTATTGTTGGGGGTTAACCTATTTATTGAAGTTAACCTATTTATTGTTGGGGGTTAACCTATTTATTGAAGTTAACCTATTTATTGTTGGGGGTTAACCTATTTATTGAACTTAACCTATTTATTGTTGGGGGTTAACCTATTTATTGTTGGGGGAACCTATTTATTGTTGGGGGTTAACCTATTTATTGTTGGGGGTTAACCTATTTATTGTTGGGGGTTAACCTATTTATTGTTGGGGGTTAACCTATTTATTGTTGGGGGTTAACCTATTTATTGTTGGGGGTTAACCTATTTATTGAAGTTAACCTATTTATTGTTGGGGGTTAACCTATTTATTGAAGTTAACCTATTTATTGTTGGGGGTTAACCTATTTATTGAACTTAACCTATTTATTGTTGGGGGTTAACCTATTTATTGAACTTAACCTATTTATTGTTGGGGGTTAACCTATTTATTGTTGGGGGAACCTATTTATTGTTGGGGGTTAACCTATTTATTGTTGGGGGTTAACCTATTTATTGTTGGGGGTTAACCTATTTATTGTTGGGGGTTAACCTATTTATTGTTGGGGGTTAACCTATTTATTGTTGGGGGTTAACCTATTTATTGTTGGGGGAACCTATTTATTGAGGTTAACCTATTTATTGTTGGGGGAACCTATTTATTGAGGTTAACCTATTATTGTTGGGGGAACCTATTTATTGAAGTTAACCTATTTATTGTTGGGGGAACCTATTTATTGAGGTTAACCTATTTATTGTTTAGTGTTAACCTATTTATTGACGTTAAGCTATTTATTGTTTAGGTTTAACCTATTTATTGTTTAGGTTTAACCTATTTATTGTTTGAGGTTTAACCTATTTATTGTTTGAGGTTTAACCTATATATTGTTTAGGTTTAACCTATTTATTGTTTGAGATTAACCTATTTATTGTTTAGGTTTAACCTATTTATTGTTTGAGGTTTAACCTATTTATTGTTTGAGGTTTAACCTATATATTGTTTAGGTTTAACCTATTTATTGTTTGAGATTAACCTATTTATTGTTTAGATTTAACATATTTATTGTTTATGTTTAACATATTTATTGTTTGAGGTTTAACCTACTTATTGTTTAGGTTTAACCTATTTATCCTTTCCATTTCTGGATAACGCTGCTATCTATCTACCCATCAACAGACCGCTTAAACCGCGATCATTAAATTGACACTTGTCTTATTGCCTATCTTTATATGTATGTCTGCATGTGTATGTGTACGGGTACTGGCACGGGTATGGGTATGTGCAGGTAAAAGTGTATACATTTGATTACATCATTTATCTAAAACGTTGTTTCGAGACCACAGACATACAAGATGAGACTTGACTCCATATAAAGTCATTTGAGAGACCTAAGCCTTAAAGGCACGTCGCATGTAACGTTTGCATTACCTGTTTGGGTGTAGCATTAATGTTACCTACCTGAATGTAACATTATCAGGGGCGGATTAAGCTTGGGCGGGGCCCCGGGCTGAAACTTTTTGTGGGCCCCTGATTATATATATATATATATATATATATATATATATATATATATATATATATATATATATATATATATATATATATATATATATATATATATATATATATATATCCTAATCAGCATACCATTCAATATATTAATGGATTATTTATAACTTATATGAACATTCGACACCGATATTTACAAAACTGCTAATTTAAAAACTTGTCAATTGTGTTCAATGAGCGGTAAATTGGATACAAACATCTAACCTTCTTCTTCTTCTCTTTTTCTTCGATCTTAATTTTAGTGTTGGAAGGGATCCCCTCCAATACAATTAAGTATACGTGTCAACTGGTTAGGCGCCACTGAGACCATTGACTCTGATTTCAGCTTGCTTTTCTTTTTACTTTCTCGTATAGAGAAAGTCTTGTAATCGTCAAAAAAAAAATCGAGATTTTTACAAATCTCGACGTTTTACACCTCACTGATACGGAAAAACATAATTTTGCAATCTTGTCCGTATGTCTGTGTGTCTGTGTGTGCGTAAACACGATAACTTGAGTACCGTTACAGCTAGGTTGATGAAATTTTATATATAAGTATTTTATCAAAATCGTAAATCCCTAACAACTTTTGAGCGATTTCCGACAACCAGAAGTGGTACTTTTTCTACTTTGAATTTTTCAAAAGTACTTGAGTACTATTTGAGATAGATGAATGAAATTTCACGCGTAAGTAAAAGATCTAATTCTCTACCTTCTATCAAATTTTGAGTAATTTCCGTTGATCGGAAGTAGTAATTTACGCTATTTCCGATTTCTCAAAAAACGCAATGTAAATTTATAAAGTACTAATAATATTCCTCACTATTATGCACACGAGAAAAATTGCCCGTTGAGGAAGGATACAACGGGCGCTAGGTTGATAATGCTGTCTATTTTCTCGGTACTTTAATTTATACAAAATATAGTCATAGGCATATCCCTAAACCATGCACCTAATCTCATTCATGACAAAAGTCGCATTTAGAGTTTCATTCAGGCAACTCTACTTGGGAGGAGGGGGGTTCGCCTATGATAAAATAAAACTGCTGTTACCAGATCAAACTAATCAAGTCTCAATGTTCATGTGCTATTGATGGAACAGAACACATTGAACTGTAAATATTGGTATTGCTCAATCTATCACTGTAATACAAACTGGGATGCACACCATGAGTCCATTGATAATGAGCAGGATTCAGGGCACTTTTTTCTCAAGTCATGTGGAATGATTCATTCTTTGTTGAAATAGAAGCATGTCGAACAGGCAAGGTATTAACTATTGCATTCAAATTATAGCAAACCAAAATGGCTATCTGTTTGCTAATATTAAAACTGAAACAAAATAACCTGCTCACAGGTAAACATTGAGCCACTTAATTCAAGACTATCGTACCTCGATTAACGAACGCCCCAACTTCTACTTTAGGCAATCACTTTTATTTTATTTTTACTTTCTCGTATATACGAAGTATAGAGAAAGTCTTGTAATCGTGCAAAAAAATTTGAGATTTTTACAAATCTCGAAGTTTTACACCTCACTGATACGGAAAAACATAATTTTGCAATCTTGTCCGTATGTCTGTGTGTCTGTGTATGTGTCTGTGTGTAAAAACGATAACTTGAGTACCGTTACAGCTAGGTTGATGAAATTTCATATATAAGTATTTAATCAACATCGTAGATCTGTATCAACTTTTGAGCGATTTCCGATAACCAGAAGTGGTACTTTTTCTACTTTGAAATTTCACATGTACGTAAAAGTTCTAATTCTCTACCTTCAGTCAAATTTTGAGTAATTTCCGTTGACTGGAAGTACTAATTTTCGCTGTTTCTGATTTCTCAAAAATACGCATGTAAATTTATAAAGTACTAATAATATTACGCACTATTATCAGTGTTTCTTCCAGACTTTTTTCTCCGGGGGGGGGGCACTTGAAATTCTCGGGGGGGGGGGGGGTAGACTTTCTTCGGGGGGGCGGACACTGTTAAAAGTATATATTTTCTATATAAATTATATAAATTTCATTTCGTTCGGGGGGGGGGGGCGGTAAAAAAATTTCGGGGGGGGCTAAGCCCCCCCCCCCCCCCCCGAAGAGATGCCTGGAAGAAACTCTGACTATTATGCACATTTCATTTGGCGTTCACTTGGTGTGCAATTCTTTTTTCTACGAGATTTTATTCTATTTTAAAAACTTTAAGTATTTAAAATGGAGTTCCCATCCCCTGTTGTTTTATATAAGAATATTCGAGAAAGCTTAGGGGAGATCACTCCCGGTTTATTTTAATGTGTTTCCATAGCCTTTGCCCAACCAAGAACAAACTACAGCAGATGTTTGATTTTGGAGTTGTCTCTCATAGAAGAGTGGCTATCCCCAGCTAACGAGCCTCATCTGCCCGATGATTTGAACTCGAGACATTTCAGTTAAGCATCCACGAGCTTTACCGACTCAACCACGCCGATCCCTAACATGTACTCATTTTTATCATGATTATATGTTGTCCCCACCCACTACCATGACACACACACTAACAAAACAGAGAGGCGAGATCCATCTGCTACGTCACTAGCACTAAATATATGACTGTTTATTTTAGGCTTGTAGAAGTTTCCGACCTCTGCCCCGCGATCTAGCCGGGTACCAGACGGTAAGAAGATTTCACGCGTCTGGTGGTGGGGGAAGTAAAGCCTGGATAGAGCCTACGGATGGATAAGCGACCATCATGTAGTGTTTCAAACCAACATCTCAGTGAGACTAATTCAGTCCACAATTGGCCATTTAGTTGAAGTTCACTACGTCGAGACCTCCCTGGCTAATGGGAGTCAAACTCCTGAGCCTGTATATCCGTGTCACGATAGTTATTGAACTGTAATTCAAGTTTTTATATTGGGCATGAGAAAGCTGGAAATGCAGACTAACCTTGAACAAACGTAAATATCCATGAGAATATTATGTCATTACAGAGCAGATGATAAAGACTGGTGGCACTTGTTTGATTATAGACGCAAAAAGAAAACAAAGAATATCAAACCACATTATGTAGGAAATGATCAATAACATACAGAGGTTAAACTAGGCCCAACTAAAACATTAAGTACGGAATTAGCGTAAAAAAACAACAACCCACACCTCCATCCTCTTAGGTGTCATCCATTTATGAGGCCCACAAAAGTTGGATTTCCACAGGCGTCCATTTAAAGAACGTCATCCCTGGCCTGTAAACCCGATATTAACGTTCACTAAAAGGAAAGGCCTATAAATGTTTTTAAAAGTTTAAATCATACAGTATTCACAACAGATGCATGTCATTTATGTGTCAGAATTCGACCGCTGTTTTTGTTTTTAACTCTAAAATCAACCCAATTTATTGTGATAAGCAAACGCTGTCCGGGCTGGTATTTATACTAAAGTGTGTGCTCGAGTTTGATATTTTGATCAAAAATTGAAATAAACTTGTCATTCAGATATTAAAACATTGGCTTTTACTTTTATAGTAAAAAAACAAAAAGCCCAAAGGTTTCACTTTAAAGGGAAATTTACTATGATTGAAAAAGGAAATTTGGGGGCCCCTAAAAATCGGGGGCCCCTAAAAATCGGGGGCCCCTTGCTGCAGCCCTCTCAGCACCCCCCTTAATCCGCCACTGAACATTATAACTACCTGTCTGTAATGTAACATTAGATTTAGCTGTCTGTAATTTAACATTAGATTTAGCTGTCTGTAATGTAAGATTAGATTTAGCTGTCTGTAATGTAACATTAGATTTAGCTGTCTGTAATGTAACATTACATTTAGCTGTCTGTAATGTAACATTACATTTAGCTGTCTTTGATGTAACATTATAGCTACCTGTCCCTAATGTAACATTAGATTTACCTGTCGGTAATCTAACGATAGATTTAGCTGTCGATAATTTAGCAGTAGATTTAGCTGTCTTTTACGTAACATTAGATTTAGTTGTCTGTAATGTAACATTAAATTTAGCTGTCTATAATATAACATTAGTGCTACGTACCTGAATTTAACATTAGATTTAGCTTTTAAATCTTTTACGTAACATTAGATTTGCCTGTCTGTAATCTAACGACTGTAATTTACCTGAAAATTACCTGTCTGATTTACTGGTACAAGAAAAATAATCCTGTGTCCTCCGACGAGATTATCCGTTGACTGAATGACTGGATGACTGAAGGACTGAATGACTGAATGTATCCACAAGCTGGCTTCTACACGAGGTGTGTCAATGCAACACAGTGTCATTACCCGTCTGTCCAAAAAAAAAAGTATGTTTTCTAAAGAGAAGGTATGTTTTCTAAGCAGCTCCTTAAAAGTCGACAGTCGCGTTTCTTTAAGGCCCAGGTTTGTGTCACACACGGGTCGTCCTCATTCGACCAGCAGACGTAAATAAGTCTATTAATAACAGTCTATCACGTACAGAGGGGGGTACCCAACCGCAACCCCCCGCCCCCTTTCTCCATATACAGTTTTTACTTTACGTCGTAGCTATAAAAAAGGCTTAGCATGATGTCAAATTCCTTCACGCTAACTTAAGGTATGCCTCGAGATGGTGTCGTCTTTAGTTGCTGGTGTTTTGATGTTGGGGGAGGTGGTGTCTTGGTGGTGGTGTCGTGTGTCTTGGTGGTGTCGTGTGTCTTGGTGGTGTCGTGTGTCTTGGTGGTGTCGTGTGTCTTGGTGGTGTCGTGTGTCTTGGTGGTGTCGTGTGTGTTGTTATGGTGTTGTGTGTGATTTGGGGTCTTGCGTGTTTTTAGCTGTTATACTTACAGATATGTTTATGGTTGTGGTTGTGGTTGTGGTTGTAGCTATGGCTATGGCTATGGCTATGGCTATGGCTATGGCTATGGCTATGGCTATGGCTATGGCTATGGCTATGGCTATGGCTATGGCTATGGCTATGGCTATGGCTATGGCTATGGCTATGGCTATGGCTATGGCTATGGCTACGGCTACGGCTACGGCTACGGCTACGGCTACGGCTACGGCTACGGCTACGGCTACGGCTACGGCTACGGCTACGGCTACGGCTACGGCTATGGCTATGGCTATAAAATGTTTTCCTTATTGCCAACGTGCTTTGTTTTTTAATATTACCTAGAGACATTTAAGTAAATTTACTTTAAATCTCCGCCCCCCCCCCACCTCCACCCCTCCAGCCCCCTCCAGTTGATGTTGGGGTTTTCTTTTACATCAATTAAGTGGTGAATTACAGGTAAAAAGAAAAAACTTTCCGCGATACACCTCCATCCCCTCCCCCTCAACCTCGTGATCACAGTGGGTATTTCTATTCGTCAATGTCCATTTTATTTTATCTTTGAACATTGTACTCCAGGTTGATACTGTAATGAATGATCATGACGTCACATATCGCTCCCTTTTATTTATTTTTTCTTCGTTATGTGACGTCACATATCAAACACGTGAACAAATTGTTGTTGTTGTGAGCACGTGATAGAGGCACGTGACATCACGTGATATTTTTACATGTGGACAGGTGATATTAGAAGAGTATACAAATTATTCTCCCTTTCTTGATCTTACCTGATACAGGTGATTCTTTCTTGGTCCCAGTGTACCCTAGGGCATACGTTTTGCTGTAAATATAAAACCCACTAAATCCCGCACTTGATTTGAAGAAAAACGTTCCCTTTTGAAGCCCAAAATCAGCGTTCATTTATTTTTTTATCTGTGTTAGATCACCTGAATGGTAATTGACAAACCGTTATGAAACTACAGTTGTAAAGACTAAACTATTTTCTTCTTGATAAAGATCTTTATTTTTCAAGCTCAACATTTTACTTCTTTCAAAAAAAATCTTTCGTTTACTGGATGAAGATCTTTTTTCTTCTTGATTAACAACTTTCCCCTACCAGGTGATTATCTTTCTTTTGTTAATAAAGATTTTGTCCAAGATTTTGTCCAAGATTTTGTCCAAGATTTTGTCCAAGATTTTGTCCAAGATTTTGTCCAAGATTTTTTCCAAGATAGTGTCCAAGATTTTGTCCAAAATTTTTGTCCAAAATTTTGTCCAAGATCTTGTCCGAGATTTTGTCCAAAATTTGTGTTCAAAATTTTTGTCCAAGATTTTTCTACTCAGTCCTTCTCAAGCTATCTGTTTAGACGAAGACAGGTGTCAGTCAGGGGAGGTGATCCCAATCCAGGGGTCAACCAGGGGTCAGTTAATGGAGATGATTCCAATCTAGCGGTCAGACAATGGTCAGCTAGTAGAGATTATCCCTATCCAGAGGTCAGACAAGGGTAAGCTAGAGATTATCTCTATCCAGGTGTCAGACAAGGGTCAGCTAGAGATTATCTCTAGCCAGAGGTCAGACAAGGGTCAGCTAGAGATTATCTCTATCCAGGTGTCAGACAAGGGTCAGCTAGAGATTATCTCTATCCAGAGGTCAGACAAGGGTCAGCTAGAGATTATCTCTATCCAGAGGTCAGACAAGGGTCAGCTAGAGATTATCTCTATCCAGAGGTCAGACAAGGGTCAGCTAGAGATTATCTCTATCCAGGTGTCAGACAAGGGTCAGCTAGAGATTATCTCTAGCCAGAGGTCAGACAAGGGTCAGCTAGAGATTATCTCTATCCAGAGGGCAGGCAAGGGTCAGCTAGAGATTATCTCTATCCAGAGGGCAGGCAAGGGTCAGCTAGAGATTATCTCTATCCAGAGATCGGAAACCTGCTGCACCGATGCTGGATGATGCTCTGCATTCTATTTTTGTTTCACTGTCTCACTATTGTGGTATTTTGTTTCATTGTCTGACTATTGTGATATTTTGTTTCATTGTCTCACTATTGTGGTATTTTGTTTAACTGTCTCACTATTGTGGTATTTTGTTTCATTGTCTCACTATTGTGGTATTTTGTTTCATTGTCTCACTATTGTGGTATTTTGTTTAACTGTCTCACTATTGTGGTATTTTGTTTCATTGTCTCACTATTGTGGTATTTTGTTTAACTGTCTCACTATTGTGGTATTTTGTTTCAATGTTTCATTATTGTGGTATTTTGTTTAACTGTCTCACTATTGTGGTATTTTGTTTCATTGTCTCACTATTGTGGTATTTTGTTTAACTGTCTCACTATTGTGGTATTTTGTTTAACTGTCTCACTATTGTGGTATTTTGTTTCATTGTCTCACTATTGTGGTATTTTGTTTCAATGTTTCATTATTGTGGTATTTTGTTTCAATATCTCACTGTTGTGGTATTTTGTTTCAATATCTCACTGTTGTGGTATTTTGTTTCAATATCTCACTGTTGTGGTATTTTGTTGACTTGCCCTGTATGAAACTTGCCCTAACAGCTACAGAAACATAGAACAATGAAGCGTATAATTTGACAAAACTACCAGCCGTATCCTATTTTTGTTTACGCTATTTTTGGGGCACAGGTTGATATCGAATGCACCCATATATGCACCTGTTCGTTCTGCTTGAGTGGTTTTTAGAACGACGTCAGTACCACCTAGCTGCAGCCTAAATTTGGTAGCGTCTTCAAGAATAGTCGACATAGAATGTGGCTAGTGTGCTCAAATACGTGGGTGGGTTAGATGGGTCATAGGTCATAGGTCATAGGTCATAGGATGAATGTGAATTGGGGCGATATGGGGTTATGTGAATTATGGTCATAATATGGGTTAAATGGTTTACGTGGGTGTTGTCGATAAGATAGGTTAAATGGATACTACGTCTGTAGCTTACTTGGGTCATATGTTGTTAATCTATGTTATATGGATACTACGTCTGTAGCTTACTTGGGTCATATGTTGTTAATCTATGTTATATGGATACTACGTCTGTAGCTTACTTGGGTCATATGTTGTTAATCTATGTTATATGGATACTACGTCTGTAGATTACTTGGGTCATATGTTGTTAATCTATGTTATATGGATACTACGTCTGTAGATTACTTGGGTCATATGTTGTTAATCTATGTTATATGGATACTACGTCTGTAGCTTACTTGGGTCATATGTTGTTAATCTATGTTATATGGATACTACGTTTGTAGCTTACTTGGGTCATATGTTGTTAATCTATGTTATATGGATACTACGTTTGTAGCTTACTTGGGCCATATGTTGTTAATCTATGTTATATGTACTGTATGTATCATGAAGGTGACTAGTTTAGACATTTAGAGATTACATATGTTGTTTTTTGTGTTGCTGGACGCCACAGTGTCTAGGCTGTTTAGAAATTCACTTTTTTAAATGTTGGGGATGAGTGGGGGTGGGGGTATGTAGTCGGACATGAAACTGTTTTCATTTAAATTTTTTTAGGCATTTAACTGTATTAGATTTTTACAAAAAGCAGTCGGCCGTTTTTTAGTCGGCCTTTTTGTAGTCGGCTCTTTTGTATTCGGCCTTTTGGCAGTCAGCCTTTTTTTTTCGTCAGACAAATAGCCTGTCGATATTGTGTAACTTGTCCCTGAAAGTGTTTTGTAGGTTTTCGTTTTTTTTTTCAAATAGAACGTACACCAACATGCGAAACATACAAAACTCACAACAACATACACCAACATACACAACTCAAAACAACATAACAAAAAAAAAACATTTTCATAAAAAACGTTTTAATAACAAGCTTTTATATACTAATGCACTAAAAAGTAGAAAATAAATTATAGACTACTATTTAAATAACTAGAAAGAAAAGCGTGGGTCACTTTAGTATCTATTGGATACCTTTACTAATGTTTAGGAAGAGACCCACGCTTTTCTTTATAGTAATTTAAACAGTAGTGTCTAATGTTAAGGAAGAGACCCACGCTTTTCTTTATAGTTATTTAAATAGTAGTCTATAATTTATTTTCTATTTTTAGTGCTTTAGTACATAAAAGCTTGTTATTAAAACGTTTTTTATGAAAAAAAATTTTAGTATTTTACATGTTTTTATTTACAATAGTGTTTCATGACTAAAAACCATTGCGCGCCTATTGAACGTGATGACGCGTGTGGTGTGGTTGGATAGAAATGCCTACTAATTTGGTCAAAATTTTAATTAATTCATAAAAAATTAATTAGGCATCCAATTAAGTCAAATTTAATTTCAGATTGCATTGTCTTCATGTCTTGACCCACGTGCCAACTGTGAACCGTATCTGTCAAGTAGAAGTGTCCGAATTTTCGCTCCGGCGTTTCGATCTAGACAGACAAACTGACGACTGACGAGGAAGTGAGTTAAATAAAAGCTTGTAAAAATGCAACATCCTACATCAGACAACATGCTACAACATACAACAGCACTAGACCACAACATGTTACAGTGAGACTGACCTTTGTAAGGACATTAGAGACACGT